CACACACACAAACAAACAAAGCTTTTAAGCCCGTCCATTCTGCTGACGCAGAGAGCGAGGGCTAATCCCAACACCCATCTCACATCCAACCTGTTACAATGTTACACCTAATAGCACACAGATTTCCCTTCTGAACATTCTGTTCTTCTGAATTACTACCAGCAGTGCAACAATACATCTCTATAGTCACCCATATAGCACTGGGTTATTCTCAGGGAACAGTGCCATTAGAGAATGAAAATCAGAAAGGTCTTTGAACTTTCAATAAATTCTATATTTAGGGTTATTACAATTAACTGAAACTATGAAAAGTCTTTCATTGCTTGAAATAAAATGTACTTTAACTGGAATAACTTTTTTGATTATATATAAGTTTATATTAATTTAACTTGATGTACTAAAATGTCTAAAACTGAAATAAAAATGAATTTAAAAACAACATTTTTATATATATATATATATAGAGAGAGAGAGAGAGAGAGACTAAAAAAAGTGACAAAAACACAAAACTAAATTACAAAAACTTAAAATGTTACAAAAACTATACAGTAGTTTGTCACTGATATTAAAATAGCACTGATGACTTTCTTCTGCTGAAGACAAAAGCCAGTCATGGCCTAATGGTTAGAGAGTTGGATTTGTAACCCAAAGGTTGGGGGTTTGAGTCTCTGTACCGGCAGGGATTGTTGGTGGGGGGAGTGAACGACCAGCGCTCTCTTCCACTCTCAATATCACGACTGAGGTGAGACCCTTGAGTACTGCTCCCCGAGTGCTGCAGCAAAAATGGCTCTGGGTGTGTGTGTGTTCATTACGCACTGCTGTGTGTGTGCACTTGGATGGGTGAAATACAGAGCACAAATTCCAAGTATGGGACACCACACTTGGCTTCACTTTTCTTTTTTTTTTTTTTCAAAAGAAGATATTGAAGAATGTTGGTAACCAAAAAGTTGCTGGTAGCCATTTGGAAGTATAGAATAAAATACTATGGAAGTCAATGGGGACCAGAAACTGCTTGGTTACCAACATGCTTCAAAATATATCTCAATTTAATTTTTTGGGTGAACTATCCCTTTAATATCTGCGAACACTTTATTTTGATGGTCTACTGACTACAAGTCACTTTGCAAGAACATGTCAACTTATTCTACTAACAGTCTAATAACACTCTAATGACTGCTAGTTGACATGTAGTTGCAGTCACTTCAGGTCAGCAGCATGTCTGAGAGCACCATCAAAATAAAAAAAGTGAAACACGTTTAATAAATCAGACATAAGCTCTGAATTTATCCTCAATCACTTTTGATTTTATTCTTTAAGAAGCATGCAAGGGAAAACACTGTAGCAAAAAATAAGCTCTGCAGAAGAAGGGGAAACGTTCCGCTGCTGCCAAATGACAAATAAAAAAATCATTTTACAGAGAGTTGCTCATCTTAAGAATAAGCAGTTTGGCATTGTGTCGTTTACCACAGACACACTTATTTATTAAACTCCATGAAAAAGCCCGTAAGACAACGACACTGCCCTGGCTTTCCTAAAAATAAAAAAAAAGCATAGTAAAAAAAAGGTAAACATTAGAAGTATGCCAGAAACGTAAATTCAACAAATACATTTCCTGTTTCTCTTTAACAGGTGCAAAATGGATACTTGCATTGTGCACAAAATATTCAAGCTGTCTTTAAAATGTAATTCAACCAGTTTTCAAGATGTTTCTCTGGAACAAATAAATCATGCGTCAAAAACTTGGGTGCGAAAAAGAACATGAACGGCAGGCATCTTGTTTTAGTTATAAAGCAAGATTTGAAAGTGTGTCTTTCAATAACGGTGTTACATTCACAAGATACATTTTTTAAATGTTTTCGGTGATGAATGAATTATAATAAAAAGATTATAATCATTCATCCCCACAAAAACTACTACTGCATCTGTTTGCTTAAAAGAGCATGACTGTATTACGAAACCCTTAAAAACAAATTGTGACGTTTTTGTGAGTGTCTGTAAACATGTCTACAAAGGGCTCATTCAACACTTGTTCCAGTACTGGAGTATCTTTATGACCGTGAGGAATGCTTTGGGAAGTGCAATATACAAACAAACCGCTTGACAGTCGCTTCCGATCTTTGCACATGTAAACTGTTCAAATGCTAAAATCAAGGGACGTGCCAACTAGGGCGAAGTCTCCTTCAGTCTTAGTGCAGATCATCTCCGGCAGGAGGCCAGTGGATTCAGCTGGACATGTGGACTGGATACGCGAGCCGGACGTCCAGAGCCTGGTTGTGCTGTGCCAGCGAGGTGTGATGGTAGTGCATGACCAGATCCTTCAGAGACTTGTGGAGATCGAACGGTTCGACGAACCCGAAGCCGCGCTCCGTGTGGCGAATCACGCAGTGCCTCACCTGGCTGCCGACCCTGTGGATGCAGAGATAAGAGCAGGGTTAGGAGAGCTGAAACTAAAAACGGAAACTCTCATGCATTGCTATAAAACTAACCAAAACAGAATCGAAAAGACCTCAAATGCTTTCTGTTTTCGTTTTTAATTCTTTAAGCATAGCAGCAAGCAGAGCAGAATTGACAGTGAAGGGACAATCAGTGACTGATGAAGAAATATCATTTTAGCATCTGTGTTTTGCAGAAAAAAATAAGTCATGCAGATTTGACAGAATATGAGGGTGAGTAAATGACCGAATTTCATTTCTGGGTGAACTAGCTCTTTAAGGTTGATTAATATTGTGAATCTGTTCGATTAAACGAATCGGTTCATTGAAGTGGAACTCAACAATCGTCACATAATGCAATCAGTCGTTTTACTCCAGTCTAATGGCGCTTTTCCACTGCATGGTACGGCACGGTACGTTCACTTTTGGGGGGTTTTCCACTGGGTACAGTACCTGGTACCTGGTACTTTATTTAGTAGCACCTCGGTTGAGGTTCCAAGCGAACCGTACCGTTACCAAAACGTGGCGTGTAAACTCTGCTGATCACGGATTGGCCGGAGAGAATTGTCACTACCTGCGTCACTGAACTTGTGACACAAACACAACAGAACCGCTAGATTTAAATCAGCACAGCCAGCGAAGGATCGAACACAACTGTTTTGAACGAGCGCACCTTTTTTTAACAACCAAAAAGTTTTGTTGTCTGTTGCGGAAGAACAGACGTTCCTCTCGTTGATAGCAGAGGAGCGGATCTGCTATAAAACTAACCAAAACAGAATCGAAAAGACCTAAAATGCTTTGTTTTCGTTTTTAATTCTTTAAGCATAGCAGCAAGCAGAGCAGAATTGACAGTGAAGGGACAATCAGTGACTGATGAAGAAATATCATTTTAGCATCTGTGTTTTGCAGAAAAAAATAAGTCATGCAGATTTGACAGAATATGAGGGTGAGTAAATGACCGAATTTCATTTCTGGGTGAACTAGCTCTTTAAGGTTGATTAATATTGTGAATCTGTTCGATTAAACGAATCGGTTCATTGAAGTGGAACTCAACAATCGTCACATAATGCAATCAGTCGTTTTACTCCAGTCTAATGGCGCTTTTCCACTGCATGGTACGGCACGGTACGTTCACTTTTGGGGGGTTTTCCACTGGGTACAGTACCTGGTACCTGGTACTTTATTTAGTAGCACCTCGGTTGAGGTTCCGCCGAACCGTGCCGTACTGAGCCGTGCCGAGCCGAGTTGTACCACACAGAGGAAACGTGCCATAAGTGGCCAGAATAGGATGCAACGTGGAGCAGACTTCACACAAATCGTCAAATGTCTCCCTATATGAGACTATAGCCTCTGAAGATGCCAGTGAAGTTATGGAACATACAAACAAGCAAACAGGAATGCATTTCAGTTCTCGTGTGATTAAACACATGATCAAACACAGCTGACTGATGACTTACACCACAGAGCAGGCGTAACAGTCCTTGGTGCTGCTGTTGCGGATGAGGAAAGCTCCAGACGGCTTCCCCTGGAGAAGCTCCTCTGCCTGCCGTCGACCGAGATCCCCCACAAACCAGCTCTCTTCCTCCAGGAGCTCCACACTCCTCTCCTCCTCCTCTTTCACCTCATATTCAGACCTGAGAAAACAACCACTTAATAAGCAAAAAGCTCCAAGATCATCTGGATTTGTCTTGTAAATGCCAGTTCCCTGTTCACCAGCCATTGTCTCTACAGACCTTACAGACCTATTGCATCAGACAGCAGCCAGACGTGTCCCCGCTCGCTCCCTCTGACTTCGTTAATAAAAACGGGAAATTAAACGGCTTCAAAAGGTGCTTTTATATTGAGTGGATTTTTAAATAAGATCAGTGGTGGCAGGTAGATTATTTGTAGTTAAAATAAAAACAAGGCAGCGGCTATTTGCACTAAGTGCAAATAGCTATAGATTCTATTTACACTATGTTAAAACAGCAAGACTTTCTGCTATTTATACTACTTGTTGCAAATAGTAGCAATTATCTGCACCTCAGTATTGTACTACATTATAAAACAGTACGCAATAATAATGTATTGAGCGTAAATTATCATTTTAATTCAAATTATTAAATGGATGCCCCCTTATTGGGACAATAAAACCCTCCCTTCCTTCATTTTTGCAGAAAATAAATGCCTTTCCGATGCGATATGAGATTTGAAAAGGGAGAAAAAAAGTTCAGCAAAAGGTGGGTTCGAACTCGGGTCGATCGCGTCAAAAAGCACACGCCTTACCATCTACGCCACTGAAACTGACGTCTAACGAGCGTCTTTGTTCAGTGCTGACTAGCCCAATCAGACGTTGGTGGGCGGAGTTAGTGTAAATAGACTCATGTCACACAGTTCAGTGAAGATATTTTTAATGAAACCCGAGAGATTTCTGTCCCTCCGTTGAAAGTCCATTCCCCCAAAACTTTAAATTAAATTTGTCCTTCATATAAAACGATCATATGTCTTCAAAAGACTTGGAATAAACCCCTCGGTTCATATGGATTTCCTTAAGACCTCTTAACTTATTGAAGTGTCATAATGTTGGATAGAAAGCACTCGGGTTTCATTCAAAATATCTGTATTTGTGTTTTCACTCATTCGACACACAGAACATGCAGACTTCATATTTAATTAGCAGTCTTTTTGAGCTTTAATATTCAGACACTAGTCCATTTCATGATTTGAGTAAGTGTACAGCCCTACTTTTGACGTATTCATCCAAAATTTGCCAAATTCTGTGTTGTACTGTAAATTCAGCAGTATCATGGAGACTTATAGATGTGCAACCACTGCATAGGAATGAACTAGCAACCACTGAGAGCACCCTAGCAACCGCCTAGTGACACTTTACCAACCATCCACATAACAACATCCTGATTTTTGCACTGGCAAGTCACATTCAACAATCACGTTACCAGACGTAATTCCTAGAGAAACCCTGGTGCTCTTTTGAACATATAGATCATCTGAACACTCACTCTTTCAGCTCACTCTGGACTGGGTGTTGGAAATCCTTGCAAGAATTCTCTTGAGAATAACACTGCTCTTTAGAGATCTCGGTCAGACTGACGGCCTCAAATGTATTTCTCCTTTGGATTTCCTGTAAAGCAACAGGGAAAGTCTTAGAAAAGCAGTGTATTTGATATACTTGATATACATTTCTTCTTTTTTTTTTTTTACAACTAGATGTAAAAACTAAAACTTAAATCACTGCCTTTAAAATAATCTAAAAGAAAAAGAAAAACCAAAATTAACTAAATGTAGTTATTCGGTTCATATTCATTTCATATTTTTGTTCCTAGTTGGCAGTGATTAGAAATACTTTTTTTTTTAATGTGAACATTTTGCATTCATTAGGTAAATAATAAATATCACTTAAATCTATATTATTTCTATATAGTTATATATAAATGTAGTATATAGATTTATTACATGATTATATTTGTCTTAATTTGTTTTATTAAATATTTTTTGTTTTAATATTTTTTAATAATTACTGTACATGACGTAAGTATAGCAAGAACTTAACCCAAGCTAATTAATAAAAAAATATATAATAATAATAACTACATAGTATTGTTTTAATATATAAAAACTAATAATAACTACCAAAAAAAATTTGAAGAAGAATTCTAATACTAAAACTGAAATTCAATTGAAAATAATATAAAAATATAAACTAATTTAAAAAACACTACTATAATAACGCTGATTTGAACCTTTTCCATTGCTTACCTGTAATAGCGTAGTGCAAGCATCATAGAGCTGGTCATACTCGGCCGTCTTTTGAAACAGTCTTAAACATTCTTGGAATTTCTCTCTGGTTGCACTCAAAAACTCTTCCTTCACAGGCAGATCCTGAAAATGCAATGAGTTTAATGACTAAAGGCGTTCACTTGTTGAAAAAAAAAATGCATAAACAAAAGGTGCCTTTCAACTAAGATGATCTTCACAATGCAACTCACTGAAAAGGTGCGAAGCGGGTCACAGTGGGACACGGGATAAGCCAGCGTGACATCTAGGGAGCTGTTGTACTGGACTAAGCTCCGATGCCTGTAGTAAGATATCAGCTCCGGCACTGAGCTGAAGGTCAGAGGCTCAGAGAAGCCAAATTTCCCATCTTGATGGTGGATCCTGATGAGTTTGTTGGTGCCATTGTTCCTGTGGGCATTTCACACATACAGCCTTGTCTGTGAATGCAATGCTATTTCTCCATGTAGAAGTCATGTTCGAAAGGAACCCATTGGTGAAATGCCAACTAATCATATCTGGCAATTTGCTGCCTTCTGGACAAAAGTCTGCTTCATGTGTGAATAGTTGGCCACTGTTGGTAATACATTTAACAGCTTTCAAAAAAGTAGGAATCCTAAAGCATGCAGTTCTTACCTAACAGTTAATGTATATTCTCCCTGCCGCTTGGAGGACGCATTTCGGACCAGGAAAGCACCATCAGGCATGCCCTGGAGTATTTCGTTCACCTCCTCCCTAATGGTTCAAAACACAATGGAGTTTGATTGCAAGTAGTATTGATTGGATAAACAAATACTAAGATTAAACACTTTAAAGAAGAAAAACTCACCTTGATATGTCAGCCCAGTACCACTCGGCCTCCTGTAAATCATTGGGCTCCATTTCTCTGAGGAGATGTTCGTCGCTACTGATGACTGGATGAAGAATCATAAAACATAAGTGTGAGACAATAGGTTACTGAACACACAGCTGAGCAATTGTTACATTTCTGGACTAATTTTACTGGAAAACCTTCAGCCCCTTTACAAAAAATTGCCAATTTGTCAGGTTTTAGTCACTGGAAATTACTTTTTTTTTTTTAAAGTGACAATCTAGTTTTTTCCTTACTGTATCTCAAAAATATTATTTAAAAGAATAAACAGATTTATACAAAAAAATCTTAATAGATTTTGTATAAATTAGGGCTGTCAAATCGATTAATCGTGATTAATCGCATCCAAAATAAAAGTCTGTGTTTACATGCGTGTGCGTGCTGTGTATATAAGTATATATAAATAAACACACATACATGTAAAAATAAGAAATATATGTAGTATATATTTAAATAATATATATATATACACACACACAAATATTTCTTAAATATATACATGTATATACATATATTTACACAGCACGCACACACATATTATGTAAAAACAAACTTTTATTTTGGATGCGATTATTCACGATTAATCATTTTAACAGCCCTAGTATAAATGTATTTATCAATAAAGTCTCTGATTTCCGTGAGTTTTTAAAAAAAATATATATATACACATTTAACATATGAATATATCATATCATGAGTTATTTTATGTTGAAATATATATTACATAATATGATAAAAAGTATTTACATTCTGTAAAATTAGTTAATATATTTAATATTTCAACTGTTTTACACAGAAAACATAATTAAGCATTAACAGGAATATTTTTTTCGGTGTAAAATAGATTAAATATTTAATAGCTGTACTGTAAAATGAATTAATACATTAAACGTTATACGTTACATTTCAAATGTAACTAAGCATTAACATTTTCGTCTTCGTTTCGTTTTTGTCAGTTATACATATCCATAACATCCTTATAATACAAACAGGAGTTGCAAATCGTTGAATTAGAAACTATAGAGTACATAAAGTGACGGTAACCAGCGGACCTCTGCGATTGGCTGAACTGAAGACTGCGAGGCTCATGAATACTAATCAAGTGAAGGGATTGGACGCTCGAGGACTGTTACCAAGCAACGTCAACATTGCCTATTTAATATTCATAAGCTAACGCTTCGCCATAGTAGGAACGGTAGCTTCGTGGCCCGATATTCCTGCTCCGCGGTGACATGTTGAGACATGCAGAAGCCCAAGACTGAATCAACTCACTTTTATAGCATACGAACTAACTTTTACAAATGTTAACTTCGCCGAACACTGACATGTTGTTATTGTTGTTCCCGAGATTGACGCTTGGCACTTAGCTTTTGCGTTTGAACCAGAACAAAGGCAGAGTGACTTGAACAGAATAAACACCAAATATAAACAGATGAGAAGCAAATAATACACGGATAAAGTTACGAACCAGTGCCAGCTGCGCTGACTCGACTCATTTCGATGTAGGAAAACGGTTCTGCAGACGATGACATCCTTTCTTCAACAATGGATCGTGTTGCAGAAGTGAATTAAGCCCTTTTGAACACTGTAAATCGTAACGTTCAATAACTGTAAACGACTGTTAGGTTATGTCTAAGATAACGAAGTAAAAACGGCACAACAATGTTTAAAAATCCGAAAATTCCCGTTTTTTTTGTTAATCCAAGTGGCCAGTTATAAATTGGCAGCCAGTCATTAAAATAAAACTTAGCAATAAAGCTTATAATCGTGTGCCATGATCAGTACGTTCATTACAGCATGTACTAATCAAATACCCATCTGAGTAAATAAACTCTTATAAGGTTCGGGACGATATAAGTGTCTTTGGACGATACCATATATTTACATGGGGGACACTTCAAGCAGGATGTATTCGTTTTGTTGTTATTATTACTTTGTTGATATTATACTTTGCTTTATAAGACTATTGAGTGAAATCAATTTTATAAATTGTTTATTAATTATATCCACTTATTTAAAGCCGCTGTTGTGTTAATGCGAGGAGTTTTCACCCCCTCTCTCCGCAACTATGCTACGGTCCGTTTTTGTCCTGCATTGTGCCGTCGGTAATTTTCTTGAACAAGTTGTTTAAAGTCATAATTCTGAGTTTTCTGCACACAAACACTGTCATTTTTTAAGTTTAAGAAATAATAAAAATGTCTAAATTAATAAAGAAAAATGTCACGACGATTTTGAATCACTGGGTTAGGGTTAGGGGTTGCACATAGGGGGAGTTCCTTCAGTAGGGAACATTGTGTACTGTTGGCATTGTCTGCCTCCTGACAGGGAAAGTTGCTCGCTTCAGTAGTGTTCAAACACTAGCTGCTTAAACCTGCCAAGCAGCATGCTTCTTAAATACATAAAAACTTGTGAATTGTGCTTGCATGATGATATCTTGAGCACGTCTATGACGGAACAGCTCAGAAAGACTGTTAAATCAAATCTAGGATTCACTCTTCGTTTGAATTTGTTTAGTGTTGTGTGTTTTAATATCAATTTTAATATGTAATACAGAACTGCAATGGCTGCCGTATTTATTAAAGGGGTCATATGATGCGATTTAAAGTTTTCCTTTGTATTTGGAGTGTTACAAGCTCTTGGTGCATAAAGAAGGCCTGTAAAGTCTAAAATCCAAAGAGATATTCTTTATAAAAGTTAAGAGTTAGCCACACCTACCTAAAACGGCTCGTTCTAACACGCCCCCACATACCTACGTCACTATGTGGAAATATTAGCATAATGCCGCCCAAATGTGCACGCAAAGAAAGAAGGCGTGGTTTCAGGAACAGCAGTCGTGTTGATGCAGCATGTCAGGGAGACGCTGTGTTTCAGTGCGAAAGCAAAAGCACTTTATTTGGCCTTCCGGAAGTAGATGCGGTTAGGAATCATTGATTACGATTTATTTACAACAGAACAGCACAACCCAGATGTTCGAATTTGTGCAACGCATTTTATGGACGACAGTTTTTTGAACTTACACCAAATACACAAAATAATGATCTTTAAAATAGCATCATATGACCCCTTTAAGGCAAATGTTATGTGCATAGACCTGGTTTAAGGCCTTATAAGCAGTTGGCAGTTTTCTGTTCTTCCAGTTTTTCGCAAGTATTAGATCAAAAACAGTAATAATAAATAATGCATCATCTTGTTTCATTTCAAGTTTATTCCATCTATTCTGCATAATCTGTGTGCAGAAACGACATAACTGGCATCTCTTTGCAGAAACTGTGCAATGAATGAAGCAATAGCAGCCACAATGGCCTTTGGCCAGTTCCTGTCATCAAACGGTCATTAATGCTGCCTAACATGAAATGCATTTATAATATGTTTGATTCCATGTGATTCTTTTTACCAACCTGTTTACATTTACAATTTTTCAAATACAATCCATCACAAACCAAATCTGACCTCCTCTATAGGCTCATTGTTATGTTTGGAATGTTATCGCTCATAATTTCGATATTTTATTTCATGGCGATAAACACCTTTACATATTGAGATGTCAGAATAGAAATTATGTTTATTTTTGCATTTATATGATTATATCCACAAATGACAGAATATGTTTATGCAGTTTGTTACATACTGATTTTCTGTATACTGATAACATCAGTTTCAAACACACGTCACTGGCTCAATAAGCATTTCCTTTCCATTTAATACAAACAAATACATAAAACAAATGTAATACAGACGTATAATACAAACAATCCACTTAAAATGGAATAAAATATCATGGCTTTTGCTTTTGGACGAATCACATTGCACTTTTCAATAAGCACAAGCGATACTGTGTCTATTTATGGTCTATTTATGGAAAACTATGCCAAGATCAGGACATGCGTATACATGACCATTGTGTTTCCGGCTTCACAACTTCATTTAGTCTCTGTTAGCACGCAAAGATGAGAGAATATGAATCATTATATGTGCTTTTGACCTCCTTTTAAGAGCCAACCTCAGTTATGCTGCAAGTTTCTCTTGCTGTGATTTTATATATGTTTTATATTTCTTAATTTAGGGCATCAAATTCCACTCTTATCATATTTTTCTATAACTGTGGGTAACAAAGAAGCACAACAAAACCACACTGACTTACTGTAAATTAAGGCAAGACTCACTTATGGCCACATAATTTTTTGTTTCGTAATAGTTCTACTGTGTGAATTTTACTGCTAATTTTTCTGTGCTCTTTTACTGAGCACTTTGGATTTTACACACACACATATATATATATATGTGTGTGTGTGCGTGCGTGCGTGTTTGTGTGTGCGTGTGTATATGTATATACACGACTCATTTATGTTTTTGTTTTGCCAACAAGCCAAGTTCCCTCTAAAATATGATACACTGAATTGAGATATAATTTGCATGTACGTCTGCATCTGCTCCATCTGAGCTGGAATGTGGTATTTGTATTGGTGTTTGATAAGGAAACGTCTCTAGCACAGGTCACAGTCTGCAAATGAGGACATGCAATTCCAATACAAACACTACAGGAATAAAATAACTCTCCGGGGGCTTTGTTTGTGGTTCATTCTGATGTAAGTTTTGTCTTTTGAGAGTTTTTGTTAGGAAAGCATGTGACCTGCTCTCTACTGATAATTGCTCAAGGATCCTAAACACACCTCTGGGCTGATGCTTCAATACGCTTCAGACACACTTTATTACTGGAGTTACTGGATGATGAGTAACAGTTTTGTATTTTGATGTGATGTGGAAACCTTAAGGTTTGTGGTATAAGTGGAATAAATGGTCCATCGTCATTAGGTCGGCACACCTCGGCTCAACATGTTATTTAGGATCAAAAGTTGGAGAATCTGTCATTTTATACTATTTATTTCCTTCCACAAATCATATTCGGTACTGTTGTTTTAGGAATGATGCTGAGCCAGCAAATGAAAGAAATTAAATTGTTGTGACAATAAAGAATACACCAAATTAATGCAACATAATCTCAGTTCTTGACACAAATGCATGACAGAGATTAAATAAAGCTGCAGAATATAATAAACATCCCATTCCAAGCCTATATGCAAACACCGGGACAGAATGTGATGACCTGAAAACAAACAGCAGCTTACATGATGCATTTATATCTACAGTTCCTGACACAAATAGAGACTTGAGAGTTTACAGCACAGTGACATCATAATTTCATATTGATACACAACCCCTGACAAAATAATAAATATACAAAAAAAAAAGTATGTGTAAAACACTTTGTACTTGTACATATAAAATACTTGTGATATAAAAATGTATATGTATATATACATTTGTCCTATATATTTAAATCCATAAATAAATAAATACTTTCTCATATGTCAAATTCGAAGAAAAACTTTATTTTGTTGTCTATAACACTTGTGAACGTATAGCAATCTATAGGCTGTTTCATCCATATTTGCATTTGAATGTATAAATCCCTGAAATACATTTTTTTATATATATTTGGTATCTATATCTATATCTATATATATATATGGAATTGAATTTTACATACACTGTAAAACAGATTTTTCACAAAGCTGTAAATAAAACAAAAAAAGAGATTATTGGAATAGTTTTTAATTTTTTTACATAAAATACTATAGGCTTTTTCAGTCTTTCTACTTCAAAATGTCAGATTCAGTCCAATGTGTTACTTGCTGTTTCATAACTATTTGTGAAATAAATTAGTGAAACTAGCCATTTCTGAGTAAAAAATTGTTTCAAAGTACTTTTTCCCCAATGTAAAATATTACATTACTTAGATACTTACATTACTTATTACATTTCATTACTAGGCATTTTTAAAATATCATTATTGTATGATAGCGGAAGTTAAAAGCGAGCTCTATTTTTAAATGTACTGTTTTATTGTGACAACACTAAAAGTAGTAGCCAGTATTTTAAAGAAATTATGATTACAATGGTATATTTTGCTACGGCGGCATCCACATTGCGTTTGTTATTAATTTGCTGCTTGCTGTATTTATGCAGAGCAGTTTTGATGACGTTTGACAAGCAACCAATCAAAAGTCTGATGTCCTGAAGACACGCCCACAGTAATAAACAAGCGTTCCGTACGTCCCTGAAGACACGCCCACCACGCGTGGTCAGCTGTCAAGACTCAAGATTGTTTACGTTACTCGTTAGTTTTTTACTGACAAACAAACAGAAAGCGACAGTTGCGGTGTGAAAAACTCTCAACTGTACGCAAACTGGACTAGCAGTACTGTAAGAGCTGTAATTTAAGAGCTCGACGTTAGCTGCAGTAATAAGATTATTCCTTTAGAAGAGAAAAGCTGGCCCATATGCTTTAGACGAGCCAGCTGAACACTGTCACCTGTTGCATCACGTTTATAATGGTGAGTTACTTTATATTCTGTTCACTAACACAATATATGGCGTGTAAGACATAAAGGGATCTCTGATTGAACTTATTATAAGAGAAGGAATTTTGCATGCATTTATTACGTGTAATCTTTCAGTTCCTCTTACAGTGTTTTACAACTGTGCAGACTATACCACAGTAAATTCAGTAGCCTCAAAAGTGCCAAATACCTAAATCATATTTCCAAATGTGCAGCTGACATGCAATTTATATATATATATTAGATAGACAGATATGTATATGTTGATATGTGTGGCTAAAAAAATATATTTGCTGAAATATGTTTTAAAATATATTTATTTACATAAATCTATTCTATACACCTATATCTTTTCACCTTTTATAGGTTTTGCCCATTTGTTGTATATTTTTGAAAATATATTTAATATATTAAGCATTTAAAAATATGTTTTGCCCATCATATATTTATTTCCATGAAAATACATTAACATATGTTGTCTGTAACATGTCAAGCGTATGACACATTTGAATAAAAATAAATAAAGCCTAAATGTAGGCTAATGTAAAATTGGAAATGTATTTTCTTGACCCTGAAATGCATTTATAAATATATTTTGGTGTACAAAGGTTCAAAGTAAATATATTTTCACTTTCAAAAATATATTAGTGCTGTCAAACGATTAATCGCGATTAATCGCATCCAACATAAAAGTTAAATGTATGTGTACTGTGTATATTTGTTATGTATATATATAAACACACACACATGCATGTATACATTTAAGAAAAATGTTACATTTATATATTAAATATATTTATTTATAATATAAATTATATGAATATAAATATATACATGTAAATGCATTTAAATATTTTCAAAATATATACTGTATGAGTGTGTATTATTTACATATACATAATAAATATACACAGTACACACATATATATTATGTAAACAGAAACTTTTTTTTGAATGCGATTAATCGCGATTAATCATTTGACAGCACTAAAATATATTTCATTAAGCTTCACAGTTCACAACATATATTTTGCATTTATTTAAAATACATTTTGGCCAGAATATATACAGGTAGATAGATAGAAAGATAGATAGATAGATAGTATTTCTTTTTTATTTATGTATTTTATTTATTATATTATATCAGCATATTGATTTTGTTTCAGGATGAAGAAAGTCCTTCCTCCCTGACAGACATGAGCATGGCCTGGGTGTGTCACAACGTGGAAGTGCTTTGTGTTGCACAAGAGGACGGGTCACTGCACTTCCGCCACTGCCCTGTGTTTCCTCAAGAGCTGGCCGATCAGCTACTGCACAGGATGGCTGATGAGGGTACGATTGCTCGCTATAACCCGTTTAGTTGCATGCAAGATCTGTTACATGATGTTCTGATCTGTTCCTCTCAGGTGTCCTCAATGACAGAACCGTAGGCATCTTCCAGAATCCGGAGCACCTGCGTTTGCGCCGCGCGTTCATCCAGTCCTCGCAGCTCTCAGCCGAGGCCTTCAGACTTTCGCTCTGCCCTCACAAGCTCCAAGAGCTCAATGCTTCACATGTACACAGCAGCATCACGATCTCAGATGTTCTCCACAGTCTCACCTCCAACAAGCTCTGCAGACAGGGCCTCCAGACACTGCTGATGGACGGCTTGCGTCTGTACGGGGAAGCAGGTGAGGAGTCGCTGCAGGCCTCCTTCAGCATGCTCCGGGGCTTGAAGAAGCTCTCGCTGGCCTGGACGGACCTGGATGACAGAGGTCTGGAGGATATCTGTGCCATTCCCATGCTGGAGAGCTTGGATGTCTCTGGCACGAACATCACGGATCTCACACCTCTGTTGAATTGTCAGTCACGGCTTCTGTCGCTGACTGCGCATGGGCTTCAGAAGTTGGAGATGCCAACCTCCAGCTTCATCTTAGTGCTCTCCAAGCTGCACCTGCTGAGGCACCTGGACATCTCTAATGACAGGCTGGTAATGGACAGAGACAATTTGGTGCAGCAGCTGGTAGAGCGCCCAGGGATCCTTCCGCAGCTCGTGTCGCTGGATGTGTCGGGCTGGAGAGGTGTGAGCGACGCTGCCATCCAAGCCTTTGTGGAGGATCGGCCAGGACTGAGGTTCATCGGCCTGCTGGGCACTGCTGCAGGAGGCTCCGAGCTGCTGTGTGGAGATGGACGTCTGAAGGTAAGAGTTTTCTTTCACACTCACTGACTGAAAATCAGGGGTCATGAATTGAGAAATCGAATTTTCCCTGATCTTTTGTTGTAAGAGGTCATTTGTAAGTTTTCAGCTTTCATTGCTGGGCTTCGGACTGCGCCTAAAATGATTGCATTTGCAACCAAAAACATTAAGTTGCGAATGATATTTTGCTGAGATATAGATTTACGTGTTATGATTTCAAAATTTGCATGTAACAGGGTTTCTGCGGGTCTTAAAAAGTATTAATTCGCCCTTCCACAAATTAAGGCCTAAAAAATCTTAAATCAGAGCAGAAAGCCTTACATTCATGAAAATGAATCTCTTCCTTCCTATTTTTGTTTTCTAGTTCAAATATCTAAACATCCTTAAATCAAGATACTTTTATTTGAGGTGTAAATTGAACATATGAAGTCTTGTTTTTAAGAGAAACTGATCAAAATTAAGTGAGTTATGCTTAAAACAAGAACAAACATCTGTCAATGCCGAATGAAAACTTGTTTTCCCTTTGAATTAAGTCGATTTTTCTGAGCCCATTGGCAGATATTTGTTTTTATGATTAAAAGAAGCTCACTTAATTTTGATCAATTTCTCTTAAAAACAGGACTTCTTATTTTATGTCTTATGTCATTTTGCTTTTCAAGTAAATGCATCTTGATTTAAGCCTGAAAAACAAGGCTTTTTAATTTTTTATGTATTTATTTATTTTTATGTATTTATTTATTTTGTGAAATGAATGAAAAAGAATGGAGATCTATTGGAAGTTGTATGTTCAAACTTTGTTGCTTATACAAGACATTTACATTTAGAGACTATATTGGCGCATTGTGTTCCATTCAATTTATTCCTTAAATTTTCTTCTTAAAATTCTCTTCTTAAAAATGTACCTCCACAAAACCTGCAGAAACCCTAATGTAATGTCTTTTTACCTGCGTTTTCTGTGAGGGAGCAGCCAATCACATCATTTGTAACCCTGGACCACAAAACCAGTCATAAGGGTCAATTATTTTAGAAATGTAGATTTATACACCATCTCAAAGCTGAATAAATAAGCTTTCCATTGATGTATGGTTTGTTATGATAGGACGAGATACAACTATTTGAAAATCTGGAATCTGAGGGTGCAAAAAAAATCTAAATATTGAGAAAATCGCCTTTAAAGTTGTCCAAATGAAGTTCTTAGCAATGCATATTAAAAAATGAAGTTTTAATATATTTACAGTAGGAAATGTACAAAATATCTTCATGGAACATGAGCTTTACTTAATATCCTAATGATTTTTGGCATAAAAGAAAAATCAATAATTTTAACCCATACAATGTATTTTTGGCTATTGCTACAAATATACCCCAGCGACTTAAGACTGCTTTTGTGCTCCAGGCTCACAGATGTTTTAATGTAATGAAGTGAGACGTAGCGCACAAAGTAATTTCACTGAGTTTGAGCTTTGAGTTTGAGTTTGAGCGCCAAAATACTCACAGGGAAGAAAAGATTAGCTTTCTGCCTCAGAAAAACATATCAAAATGGAAAATATTAGATTTTTGCTAATGGCACACCTGCTGAGACAAAAGCAGGCTCCGGTTGTGTCCGCTTGAGAGATATAGAAGACGACGGAGACACAGAGGATCATTTTTCAGTGTCAATAAATGAACACTCAAGTGAAAGTGCAGAAAGGCATTTTAAAAATGTTCGGATTCAAGAGTTTGCATGGCTCAGGTATGATCATCGCACACAGACAATACTTTGTGAATTTTATTAATATTTTGAATCAGTTTTTTTTTTACATTTTAATCTTAATTTTAGTAAAGTTTTATGGGTTTTTTTTTTATGTCGTTTGTATTATTTTTTTTTATTTCAGTTATAGTTATTGTAATACAGTAAATTAAAATGAGAAATGTTGCCTTGGCAACTACCTGAAATAAAAAAAATAATTTTCAGTTAACATTTATTTTATTTCAAGTAACAAAAATGTTTTTAATGGTTTCTAGTTTTTGTTTTATAATTTTAAAGCCAAAGACCCTGCAAAACTCATAGTTCTTAATTTTAGTAAAGTTTTATGGTTTTTTTTTTTATGTCGTTTGTATTTTTTTTTTTTATTTCAGTTATAGTTATTGTAATACAGTCAATTAAAATGAGAAATGTTGCCTTGGCAACTACCTGAAATAAAAAAAATAATTTTCAGTTAACATTTATTTTATTTCAAGTAACAAAAATGTTTTTAATGGTTTCTAGTTTTTGTTTTATAATTTTAAAGCCAAAGACCCTGCAAAACTCATAGTAAAATTAAAAGTCCACCTCAGGAAACATTCTAAAATAAAACAAAAATGCAATTCATGACTGCTTTAATCTAATATGCAGTGCATGCAACTACTGATGGTAGAGCATCCACTGCGATTACTGTTTCAGATTTACAGTACCTGGAAGCTGAATGGAAAAACTTACATTTCACTGCCATCCTTTTAACCATGTGACAGTCAGAACAGCAGATTTTGCCAGGAGCTGCAAATACTTACTAATGTGTAAACACGTCCAGGTGGCTGGAGAGTCCAGTTTAACCCAGCTGTGTGAGGCCTTGAGGAGATACAGCGACCGAGAGAGTTTCATACGGGAGGTTCTTGCACATCTCTACAGTCACACCAGTGACATGGAAGAACCTCAGCCACACATTTTAAAGGTACGAAAATGTCTTCTCTAGCAGATGATAATCTGATGATCTGTAGTTGTGAACTAAAAATGACAAGGTTTGGCTGGTTTGTTACTAGGATCAGTGAAATATGAGTGTCAGTGATAAAGAAACAGAAAAATCTAGTTTAAAACTTTCTGAGAAATGCACGTTTTTGTAGTTAATGTTGGTTTCAAATATTTTTTTCACGAAAAAAGTTTGCGATATTTGAAAAAAAGTGCGGTAAAACTGACAATTCCTGAATCTTGAATACATGCAAGTTTACACATCTTGATCATTATTTTCAAAATATTAAGTTTTTTTTTTTAATACCATGAATTCATAAATATCCTCACATTTTTGAAGCGTCACACCACATGACAACCTGAACTAACCTTGCCTTGTGATAAAAAGGTCAAATTATCTGATATTGACATTCATACACAGTCATGAGGGTTTGCATGACTGTTGTTTATGATGGTTTTGTTTTGTTTTTTTCTGTATGTGGTTGCACCACACGAGTTTGTTGGTCGCACCATGTGACTTTGATTTGACAGACAAAAGTTTCTGAAATATTAATAAGCAGTGAAGCAGTTTTGTCAAAATATTTATTTTTCTGTGAACTAAATAAGGTTTTCTTTTCAAGTATTTGAGTTTTTAATTAGGCTTTTTTCTTCTTCAAATTCGATCAACGATTTTTTCAGAAATGAATGCACGTCATATAGAAGAGGTTTGTCTGAAGCCATTCTATGTATGAATTGAATTGAATTTTATTGTTTTGAATAAATGAATAGATTCAGATAAAAATGATTTAAAATTGATTTTTGACACCACTCATTTTGTGTTGAGACATGCAAATAACTAACTGTAAGTGAAGTTTTTAAGATGGCATAGTTTAAATTACATCATAAACAATGCCCTAAAACTTCCCTTTATCGTAAAAGATCTTGGCTCTTTTTAAAAACGCATTGTTGTAGTGTGCTGCATGACATTTACGTACAATGTCCAATGTGTCTGTTCCTGTTTCAGCTGGTATTGGCTGGAATGCGACACCACACTGATTCTCTGCACGTTCAGCTTGTGGCCTCTGCGTGTGTGTTTAACCTGACCGTACAGGAGCTGGTGCTGGGGATGCCCTTACGCCTGCTGGGAAATGTAGTTCAGCAGCTTCTTGCAGCCATGAAAAACTTCCCAAACCATGAGCAGGTATATCCATCCGAAATGGTTTGCACGATAAAGATTAAAGGGATGGTTCACCCAAAAATGAGAGTTCTCTCATCATTTACTCACCGTCGAGTCGTTCCAAACCTCTATGAGTTTCTTTCTTCTGTTGAACACAAGAGAAGATATTTTGAAGAATGTTGGTAACCAAACATGCTGGTGTCCACTGACTTCCACAGTATGTCTTTTTCCTCTATCCATATTTAAACCATTTTCTTTCTGCTTTTAGTTGCAGAAGAATTGCCTGCTTACTCTTTGCAGTGATCATATCTTACAGGTCGTCCCATTTGACAGGTCAGTCCACACACATTTCCTCAGTGCACTTGTTACTGTACATTGTTGAAGTGGCTTAACGCCGTCTTGACCCCTGTTCCCTGGTAGATACGAAGCTGCTAAGCTGATAATGATGTTGCTGGGGAATCAAGAAGACCAGACGGTGCAGAGAATGGCGGTGGCTGTAGTCTCCATACTGGTGTCTAAGGTCATTACATCAACACCAGCATTCTGTGTCTAAAACCACGACAAACTTTGACACTATGCTGGTTTGTTATGAACACCAGTATTATTAGAAATAGAGATCTATATATTCATTTTGCGGGTTTTGAATTTTGAATTCAAAAGTATAATCGTGGCCAAAAGCTAAGCTTTGGCAGTGTGACACATTTTGTGTTTTGCAAAATGTGCAGCTTAAGCTGTTGTGATGTTCATTCACATTGTTTCTAGATTATGTTACTGCCAATACTTGTAGAAACAATGTCAATGAACACCACAACAGCTTAAGCAGCAAATTTGGCAAAAAACTACATTTGTGTCACTGCCAATACTTTTGGCCACGACTGTAAAATGAAAAAAAACTAGTATTAAAAAACCTGTGGGATGCTTGGCACTCTTTTTTGTTGTTGTCCTTTTTCTCTATCAAATCTTTTAGTAGTCATCATAAATCATATATCATATATTTTGAAACCTTAGAAGCCCAAGATTCATCCTGTGAAAACCATTTTGAAATCAGACATTGCGTTAGAATGGAAATGGTACTTTAAAATATTTTGGTGGTCTCCCCCTTAGTGGGCGGTGTCAAGTGTCATATTACAAAATGCATTACACACTTTTACAATCAAAACTTTTTATAATCTTGACAAAAAACATATCATTGGAAAGAAGTAATATTGACAGAGAAATCTAGACATTTTTGACAGAAAAATGCATTAAAAAATGTAATGGAGTTTGGATGGCACCCGGTGGCTGTTTGTGGTATAACGCCCTAAATAAAATCTCACAGGAACCTCAATTTTTTTCATATCAACTTCAAATTTGGAACATAACTTATTTAGACATAAGGCTTTAATTTTATACCAATTTTAGAGTAAAACCTGTTATATAAAATATTTATTATATATAAAATAAAATAAATATAGTGCATTCTCTTTACAGTACATTTAAACTGGCATAACTTTTTAATACTTTAATTCTTTTAAAACAGTCCACTTTTGCTATAATCTGCTGATTTTCTTCTTTAAAAAGAGACCAACCTTATGTCTGTATTCCAAAGTGTTCATAAATTACAACAATTTAAGTTTGGAAAAATGGGGGGTGACAGTTAAGGGGTTAAGGTAATAAAAAAGTAGCGAGTGACGTATATGCAATATGCAAATATATCGCCATGAACTTTTAAGATCTGCTTATGTGAAAAAAAAACTATTATATCATTTTCATCTTTGGGACATTATTAATGAGTAAAAGGCTCTCTCACACTTCATTGCAGTTGAGCACAGAAGAGATCGCAGAACTGGGTGCAGAGGCGTTTATAATGAAGGTAAATGCTTCTTTTTTCTTTTTTTTTTTACACAAGTGGTTTTATTTGCTGTTGCTGTTTTTAAACATAGTGCTGTGCTGAAAATCCTTTACCTAACTGGTCAAAAATGACCGGCCTTTTATCTCTAATGACAAAAATCTTGATTAAAAAGATCGAATCCAATATTTGGTAATATTACACGGCTCTGTGGAATACTTGATTCTGATTGGTCAATCGCGCCATCCAGCGGTATGTTATTCCCAGATAACAACCGCCAAATTGAATAACACACCGCTCATCCGGGTACTACGAGTTATCTTGACCGGTACTACTTATATGCTTAACGAGTCACTCCGCTATCGTTGACTGTCTGGCGCCATCTTGTGACTGAAAACACTTAACCACCGCGTGTTATACAATGGAAGACTTCAGCATTAATTTCAACATATATGGTAAAAACAAATCTTTTTAGCCGTGTAATAATATTTTTAATATACACGATAATGTACATCCAGCCGGTTGTTATTTCAGAATAAACCCCTTCAGGCTGATACAAGTCCTGATCACCCTGTCGGGGTTTATTCTGAGATAACAACCGGCTGGATGTACATTATCCCTTACATAATATAGCATAAGATATTTATTAGCATGTAGGCTGGTCATTTTAGACTGGTGATGTCGCAAGTGTAACAAGGGGAAAAAATCCTCAAAAAAGTACAAAAACTATCAAAAAAAAAAAAAAAAAAAACTTGGAA